AAGGGGAGTGTGGATATTGGGGGATAGTTAAAGACTTACACCAATATAATTCTAGGATTACATTGTCCTTATGGCTAGCAATATAAGAAAAAAAGTCACTTCTGGCTCCTGAAATATTCTTTTTGGCCTCGTTTGGGTCATGTGTCCATTGCTGAACCAGCAACTTCTACTACGGAAGAAGATTTCTTTGTTCAGGCCTACATCATGTCTTTCCACTCCATCTTGGAGGTGGACTAGGAGAGGTCATTCCCACCTGAGCCATCTCTCTCCATCTTTGCTGCCATTACCCTAGTGCTGGCTATTATCTTACTTAGACTTCATAGCGGCCTCCTAATTTGATCTCCTAGCTTTCTCTTCTGGTCTCACCATACTCCATTTATTATTCATGCAACAACTAAGCTAATCTTTCTGAAATGTAAATTGTTATTTGACTTCTCATCTCTCTTAGAATAAAGCCCAAACTTCTAACTTGGCCTTAGGATGTTATATTGACTCCAATAAATGATTGTCTTTTGTCTCTTTTTCAGTATTTATATCTGTCGTTTGTTTTTCTTCTCTTATTGCATCAGATTTGAACAGGCCCAAAATGTTGAATAAAAGTGGTAATATAGGCTATCCTTGTCTTTCCCTTGTTTTAATGGGAGTGCTGTTGGGTCACTATTAAGTATAATCCTTTATCAATTTAGTATATCTCTTTCTTTTACCCTACTAAATATTAGCAGAAATGTATACTGAATTTTGTCAAATGCTTTTTTGGCATCTATTGAAAAGATCATTTCTTCCTCTCCCTCCAATCTCTTCATATAATGAATTGCAATAATAAATTTCCTAATTACCTGTGTTTGAGATACTTATTATGATGTAGTTTTCTTTTAACATACTGTTGGGTTTGATTTCATTAAGCTTTTGATTTATATTTTCTATGGAGATTATTCATTTCATATTAGATTTTCAAATTTATTGGGAGAAACTATAGATAATTTCCTTCTTACATCAGTCTTATAAAATTTGTGCTTTATAGATTTAATTTATATGCATCCTTTTTCCTTTCAGTCTTATATGTTGTATTTTTAACTGTTTTTGCCATTGAGTTGTTAGAAGTTCGATCAAGTGCTTTATTTGATCTCTTTATAGTCAAGTAATTTTTTAAGTGGCTTAAGTAATTTAGTGTGTACTTCTTAATTGTGTATAATTTAAACAATTTAATAACAATACAACAAAAATTTTATTGTTTTAAGCACTTAAGTGTACAGTTCAGTAATGTTAAGTATATTCATATTGTTGTGTAACAGATCTTCAGAACTTTTTCATCTGGTAAAACTGAAATTCTCTACTTATTAGACAGCAACTTTCCATTCTCCTTTCCGCCAACTCCTGGCAGCCAACATTCTACTTTCTGTTTCTATGAATTTGACTACTTTAGATACTTCATATAAGTAGAATCATATAGTACTTGTCTTTTTGTGACTGGCTTATTTCACTTAACATGACGTCCTGAGATTCATACATGTTGTATCATGTAACAGGATTTCCTTCCCTTCTAAGACTGAATATCCCATTGTATGTATATATACCACATTTTGTTTTATCCATATATCCATCGACGGACATTTGGGTTGCTTCCACCTCTTGGCTTATTGTGCCTGTTAATTTTTACACTCAATTCTTGTAATTCGAATTTATACTGGCTTTGGAGGAAGACATGAACTTAGTCTTATGTTTCCAAATAGTTAATCAGTTGATTTAGCTATTTCATCATCTATCCTTTCCCACTATTTGAAGTACTACCTTTATTTCATATATTTAGACAATAGAACAATAGACTGGGTTATATCTGCTCAGTATGTATATCTTTATATGTATTGTATTTGTATAACCTTAAGGCCCACGTACTAAAATTAGTTGTTTGTACTAAGCAATTTCCTGTGCTTTTTGACAAGTAGCTAACATCTGTAGGGTTTTATGGTTAACAAAGTAATGTTCCATATTTTTCATCTTACTTAGTGGTCTTTTGAAAAAAAATATATATATATATATTTTTTTACTGCCTGTTAAGCCTGTAAGCAGGGTTGGCTTCTTTCCTTCCTTTCTTCCCTCCCTCTCTTCCAGATTTCTACTAAAGAAGTAAAGGTGCCTTCAGCACCAGCATCTGTACCATGTTCTTATTGATTTGTGATGTCATTAGCCTTAACTAGGCTGCCTTTTGGACTTGAACACCTTCATAACACTATTAGGGCAGGATCTACAAACTATGAATGTGTTTTAGTTCTCTTGCATTATCATTCTGGTGTTCTTTAGTTTTGTTTCAATATTTTAAAAATATATTTCAAATAAACCAGGAATAATTTAATACTTATGCAGCTGCTATTCAGGAAATGCCAAAATAGCAGAGCTGCTATATGACCTGAGATAGATGTTTTAATTCTATTGAAGAGATGATACATCTTTTAAACTGAACCTATGCTAAAGTATGTAGCAAAGTTACTAAACTATGACTGATGTTTGTTTATTTAATGTTGGTGGAGTCTTAAAGGGAGATTGCATTATCTTTTTTTTGTTATTAAATCATGTAGTAAATGTAAATTGTGTACTTGTGTAAACAAATTTTTGTTTTGCATAAATGGGGTCATTATAAAAATATTACGAAAATTTCTTTTTAAAATTAATGGTCTTATCATAGACTTTTCCCATATAAATACACTTATCGTTTATCTTATTCTTTTTAATGGCTGTGGAGTGTTCCCTTGTCAGGTATCATGACTTCCCTGGTTTTATTGAGTGTTTTGGCTGTGTCCAGGGTTCTACTACAAACAATACTGCAGTGGACTCTTTTTGATATGTATCTCTGTGTATGTGTGTCTGTATTTTGGTAGGATGTATTCCAATGGTGAAAGTGCTAGACCAAGGGTACATGGGTCTCTTCCTGTAGCTCCCATTTTGTTATGTGTATGAGCACTGTATTTTTAAAACTACAGTGGTTTTGTAGTGGTTTAGTATGTTTTAGGATGTGCTATGTCAGATGTCAGCTTTCAAGCCCCATTAATATCTATTCTCTGTGGATGTCTCTCTGTTAGCTGCTTTACCCATTAAGAGCCAGATAAAATATCACCTCTTCCCTGAAAGTATTCATAACACTTAGAACATTGGGTAATTATAACCTCAATAACTAGTATTTTAATAACTAGTATTTTAATGAGTGCTTACTATATACCAGGCACAGTTCTAATTGCTTTATGTATAGTATCTCATTTAACCCTCACAACTCTAAGAGGTAGATGATAATATTATCCACAGTTTGTAGTTGAAAAAAAATCAGGGAAAAGAATAACTTGCTCAAGGTCACAGTAAATGATGGAAATAAGATACAAACATGGGCAGTCTCACATCAAAGTCTGCTTTTTTTAACTTCTATAGTTCACTGCCTCCCTACTACTCTTTCATGGTCTCCCTAGTAATTGCTCAAGAGATGTTTTGTATAAATTGTAGAACTCACTAGCTTATTTCATGTTGCATTTTGGTCATCTTTACAGATCTGTGTGAATGACATCTTTTTCTAGTTTATGACTTACCCCTGGGTCATTATACATAAGCAGTAATAGTCCTGGTATGTTTAAGAGTCGGTTAGAACACCATATTATAAAACTGCACCCCACACCCTTCAAGAAAAAGACTTTATAGGAGTGTAGTTAATGTTGCTCTGTTCTGTTACATCTTGTTGTTTCCCTAACTCCATCTCGGGAAAAATTCATGTGATTGATCTTGAGATGGATTTCATAGATTGTGAGTGAATCGTATACTATTCTTCCCCTTTTCTGGAACGTCAAGTGAAAATAGATACCTTGTAGGTGACCTCTTTTATAGTAAGTTCTTAAAATGTGAAGTGAGAAGAATGCTGTCTTAGACCCTACTACATCTCTCAATTCATGCTGTCAAGTAAGTGTGATGTGCAAGCTGAATCTCTCAGCCTCACCTAAGAGGGACATCATAATACCTTCTTTTGCTGGGGGTCAGATTAGCTAAGTGTGTGCAAACATTTGTGAACTATAACAGTCTCCGTAAATATTAGTTTTTAAAACTGAAGTTTGAGGAAGAATGGAGAGTGTTGTAAAAATGGGGTTACTGACTAGTAATATGTTTGGTTGTTTTTAAAAAATACAATTTAAAATCTGTAAGTTAGAAAAATCTGACTCTTTTATTTTCTTTCCTGACTCCATTTAATTTGATTATTTTATTGAATTCATAGACTGCCAATAAAACTCTTCAGCTGTAATTGTGCATGTGGGTTAATTTATTTTAGGTGGAGCCGGTGTTAGCATAGGAAGTGGGATTCTGTAATGAAGATTCCACAAATAATAGTTGTGTGGGTTAAATGATCTTTTAGGATTATATCCTGGATTCATTAGATCTTTAGTATTTAAATAGAATATATTCTTAAATTCCCCCAGAATTTAAAGTTTTTTTTACTACTTAATTATACTGTTAATAAAGAGGGACAGATAAGAGTAATGGGAAAGTCAACATCCTTTTCTTACTCTTTTATCTCCTTTTCTGGGAATGATGAGGCAAGCCGTATTCGGTGACTTCTCTGCTGTAGGCTTAGCAGGTGATTCAGTGGTTCTAGATAAAATGGCCAGATATCAAAGCAAAGATCTGACCATGCTGTTTTCTTAAGTCTCAGAACTTTTTTTTTTTAAATAAATTTATTTATTTTATTTATTTATTTTTGGCTGCATTGGGTCTTCGTTGCTGTGCACGGGTTTTCTCTACTTGTGGCGAGTGGGGGCTACTCTTCGTTGTGGTGTGCGGGCTTCTCATTGCGGTGGCTTCTCATTGTGGAGCATGGGCTCTAGGCGCATGGGCTTCAGTATTTGTGGCACGTGGGCTCAGTAGTTGTGGTTCGCAGGCCCTAGAGCGCAGGCGCAGTAATTGTGGCGTGCTGGCTTAGTTGCTCCACGGCATGTGGGATCTTCCCGGACCAGGGCTTGAACCCATGTCCCCTGCATTGGCAGGCAGATTCTTAATCACTGCGCCACCAGGGAAGCCCCTTAAGTCTCAGAACTTTGAAAACATATCCCTAACTTACTTTGTGGATTGTTCTTTCACTTGTACCTTTCCTTCCTTTTTTTTTTCTTACTCTGCCCAGTATTACCACCTCTCAGTCCAAGATCCACTCCACTATTCGACCCAGTTTGCTGGCTCCAACCCAAACTCTGGTACTGGGTTCTCTTAGCCAGAGCCGTGTTCTGGAATATATTTTAAGTTGTTAATGTGTTTTAGGTATGTGGGAGGTGTTTTGATATGTAGAAGTTCTTGCCTACTTTATCCTTATCACCAGATCCTCTTATCTTGTATGCCAAGACATAAAAAACATGGGCTTGGTATTGCAGCTTTTTGTCTCCATGCATGAGCAACTTCGTTTTGTTTCCCATGGAGCCCAGAAGAATAGCAAGGGGAGCCATTCATTGGCTTAGACAGCCTTGAATGTTAAGATTCATAAATCTTAATCAAATACTAAGGACTTCTGACCTTACTACTAGAAGCAGAAGTTTCCCTGAAAATCTTAATTGAAGGGTCAGATTCCAGTTTCATTAAACCCCAGGCATGTGAATACTTGGCAATTTCTGTGCCTGACATAAAATTACATTCCATTATAAAATAACCCATTGCCTTTGTATTTGTTTTCCAATATTTCTCCTGGAAAAAAAACATTATATGGAAAAAGTTTAAAATCAAGTTGGGAAACTTTTGCATCCTGCTTTAATACTTTGTGACTTTGGGAAAATTACTGTTTAACCTCATTTTCTTCATCCATGTTGGGACTAATAATTTTTTCTAACAGAGTTTTTCTAAAGAATGGAGATAATCTCTATATCTAGTACACTGTCTTATATGTTGGAGGTATTCATTACTTAGTTTTTTTGTATTTAATTGTTAAATGTAATTCTTGAATGAAGTTGTCATTGTTCTTTTCCAGTCAGGAGCAGTTTTCTTTACCTTTTTTAGGTCATGGATTTTAGTTAGATTCTGATGAAAACTGTGGACCCCTTCTCCCTCATATGTACTTAAATATATACATACAGCATTTTGCAAATTTCAGGAGGCTAGAACTTTTGAGGCATAGGTCTATGAACCGTGAATTATTTACCTTAGGTGATGAGTACTGGATTTCATCTTTCATCCACTGAGGAGTTCAATGACCTTCTGTACTTTTTATCACCTCTAAAATTAAAAAGTAAACAACCCCTTCCATACCTCTCCTCAAATAATCATATCAAAGCTAAAGAATTTTTCTTCCAGAAGTTGACACTATATAACCTTTCAGAGAGTTTTCTTTGGATATATAATAGATTAGAACATTTTAAATCACTACCAGTCTTTCTTCCTTTGTTCTTTGTGAAACCATTGGAATCTTGACTCAGAAAAAACTAGTTAAGAGATAATTGGTTTCTATATATGCTTTTCTTTCCCTAGAGGTATGAAGGATGTCTTAGGAAATGATAGGATGCACTTAATAAAGTTTATAGCTATTTCCTCATTCTGTGTTTAACACCAAACTATAAAGCTTTAATTTTATTTCTTCTGGCTTATTTTACAATTTTTGTCTTAACTTTTCTTTTAAATATGGTGCATTGAGTACATTCCTTTAACTTTCTTTCTTCCCAACATCCCACTTATATGGTTTAAAGATTGAACTAAACCACAGTTTTGAAAAGCAAGGGACAGATGTTATTACACTGGTCAAACTACCTTAAAGAGGAGTAAAAGGACTTCATTAGCTCTGTAGCTTTATATGTGCTCGGATGTGTGTGGGGGAAGGAGGGAAGATCCATCTTTAGGAATGGATAAGTCCATATTTGAATAATATCATCAGTACTGGTTTTCTTTCAACATTTTAGTCTCTCTTTTCTTCTGTATTAGTTTTATTTTCAGCCAGGCAAAGATGGCTGCCAGAGGAGAGGGGGGATGGGATATTATTCTAGCCAGACCTGGGTCATATGGCCACCCCAGTGGTAGCTGGGAAGACTCACCTCCACCCAAATCACATGTAATATTTTCCCCACGGACAAGAGGGATTATATTACTAGAAAAAGGGACCGGGGAGAATGTGTGTTGAACAGTAAAATTGCAGTTGACAGTCCACTACAGGTACGATCAGAGGACAAGAAATTATGAAGAAGATAGGAAGTTCATGGGATTGGATTGACAGCAAAATCTCAAAGGAAACTGGAACTCAAGATACCAGAGGTAAGCTCAGGATTTCCTAGGGGAACCTCAGAAAGACTCCAAGCTTGGAGTCAACAAGTACAGAGAACAGTAGTGGGCAATTGGGTAATAATCAAGAATTTTAAAGAATTATTTTCCAAAGTGCTGCATTAGTTGGACCTCCTTCCTGCCCTTTCTCCAGTCTTAACAGCCCTGGTGGCAGTCATGCCTGCCCTCAGGCCAGAAGTCTAACTGTTCTCTTTTAAGAAAGTAGATTAGCAATTCAGTAGGACATCTGAGGTGTTGGAACCTGAGAGAGAAGCAGAGGCACTGAAGCATGCCTCTTCAGAGAATAGCAGTTTTGGCGGATCCCAGCAAGTTTAACTTCCTGTCTAGGTACCTTTCTGGGATACCTGCTTAAATAGTACTACCCTCCCATTTAAGGGAGACACCATTTGGGAAAACAAATTCGAACAACCTCAGAGAGAGCCAAAAATAATCTTTTTTATGCCAATATAAACAGACAGACAGTTGAGGAGAATAAAGATGGAAGAGGATTAAGATGAAAGAAAGAACAGCTGACCTCAGATAAAATTCAGAAGAAAGCTTCAAAGAAAAAAAAGTGTAATATGTATTTTACTAAGATTCAAGAACATGTTGCAATGATTAATCATAGTTTCATTGAAAAAGTGGCAGAGAACCAGGACAGATTTTGAAAATTATGAAGATAAATTTTAATGGATGGGTTAAATAACAATTTAGCATGAATCAAGACTGAGTTGTTGATTTGGAGCCAAAGAGGAGGAACTCTGTGTATGTGAAGCAAAAAAAAAAAAGAAAGAAAAAAAATCTGGAAAAATTGAGAGAAAAAGAGTACGGAAAATACATCACAAAGTTTTCATATCTGTAAATATGAGTTCTAGAAGTAAAGAACAGGAAGGTGGAAAGGAGAAAAATATTGAAAGAAATCATTGAAGAAATATCATGAGCCAGAGAAAGATAATGAATTTCAGATTAAAGGAACCCATCTAATACCACACAGGATGAATGGAAAAAGACCTATATCTAGACACGTCTGGCAAAATTTCAGAACTCTAAGGATAAAAAGAAAATCCTCAGTTACTGCCAGAGACAGGGAATAAAAAATGGAAAATCAGGTCTTCCCTGGTGGCGCAGTGGTTGAGAGTCCACCTGCCAGTGCAGGGGACACGGGTTCGTGCCCCGGTCCGGGAGGATCCCACATGCCGCGGAGCAGCTGGGCCCGTGAGCCATGGCCGCTGAGCCTGCGCGTCCGGAGGCTGTGCTCTGCAACGGGAGAGGCCACAGCAGTGAGAGGCCCGCGTACCGCAAAAAAAAAAAAAGGAAAATCAAATAACTGAGTTCTTAGCAGCCGTGCTGAACGCTTGAAGATAGTGAAGCAGTATTTTCATCATTTGGGGGAAAATACTGAACTTAAATTTTTTATAGTTAACTACATTATTTATCATATGAGGACAAGTATATTTTTATATTTAGAAAAACTATGTACTTGATATGAAAATATTTGAGACACTATAATACAGTGGAAAATATAATCCAAGATAGAGGATATGGTGGTAGGGCAGTGTCGGGGGGAGGAAACTGGTAGCTACAGTGGCAGTCTTGGACCTTCAAAAAGAGCCAAAGAGAGGGCTTCCCTGGTGACGCAGTGGTTTAGAGTCCACCTGCCGATGCAGTGGACATGGGTTCGTGCCCCGGTCCGGGAAGATCCCACATGCCGTGGAGCGGCTGGGCCCGCGAGTCACGGCCGCTGAGCCTGCGCGTCCGGAGCCTGTGCTCCGCAACGGGAGAGGCCACAACAGTGAGAGGCTCACACACCGCAAAAAAAAAAAAAAAAAGAAAAAAAGAACCAAAGAGAGCTAGAAGAAAATTCAAGTGCTGCCACTCTTAGAAAACATGGACAATTATATTTCAACCAGTAATGTCTAAATGATATAAAATTACATTCTCTTCAGTGATTAGTATTTACTTAGTCACATTATAAATGCAGTTAATTAATTTTTAGTTTTTAGACTCAACCTAGAAAATATATAAGATAGACTTGATTATAGTTATGGAATAGTTAAGGAGTATAGTTATAAACCTTTATAATATAAAAATAATATAACCTATAAAATTGCGAGATAGAGGGCAACAAAGGAAGGGTTAGTGCTCATTTCTTCAATGGACAGTCAATAGATAGCACATAAAAATTGGTAAATCAAGAAACAGAAGTAAAATGATGTTAAAGTTAAGCTTGTAACCGCACTGGAAGTCAGTTAACAGCGTTAACAGTGTATTGCCATTTTGTTTCAGGCCAGTAACAAAAAGATTTACTGTTCACCTTGTGCCTTTGTGGCCTTCGAATTTTTTAAAAATCGCACTTTCATGCATCATATTTATAATACTAAAAAGATTGCAGATGTGTTTCATTTATCTACCTAAATAATAATACTTTTATTTATAAAGTGCCATTCCAGGACCACATGGTTTTTAGAAATTCTGTGAGGTAGGTAGAAATGGAGGACATACAGAAATTAATTCCAAGAAATTGGAAAGTTGCATAGAATACAAATATGAATACTTTTATGTAAGATGCATAATTATTTCTTGACTGGCTTACACTCTTTATTTTGTATGTCAATTCTGGAGTCCTTTCCATGATTCTTTTTTTTTTTTTTAATTTTATTTATCTATGGCTGTGTTGGGTCTTCGTTTCTGTGCGAGGGCTTTCTCTAGCTGCGGCAAGTGGGGGCCACTCTTCATCACGGTGCGCAGGCCTCTCACTATCGCGGTCTCTCTTGTTGCGGAGCACAGGTTCCAGACGCGCAGGCTCAGTAATTGTGGCTCACGGGCCCAGTTGCTCTGTGGCATGTGGGATCTTCCCAGATCAGGGCTCGAACCCGTGTCCCCTGCATTGGCAGGCAGGTTCTCAACCACTGCGTCACCAGGGAAGCCCTTCCATGATTCTTTTAAAAAAAAAAGTTTGTTAAAAATTTGGATGTATGGGAAAATTCTGAGTCCTTCTTCCCACCAGTGCCTTTAAATAAGATGACATTTTCTCTGACATACTGAAGACTGGGATTAGAAGCCTGGTTTTTCCATAAGAAGAAAGTCATGTGATCAAGGAGAGCTACAGCTACTGGCGGCAGGGTATATCTTCTGGAAAAACTGGAAGAAAAGATGGGAATAGAGATGGCCTTTTTTATCTTTCTGAAGATAGAGCTTATCTTATGTCCCTAGCTGGACAATATTTGTTGAATGAAAGAATTTATTTTGATGCCACTTCAACTTAAAGATAGGTTGGCATCCTGTTCCTACTGTACATAGGTAAAATGTTTTTTGAAAGCCTAATTTTAGGAGTGTTGCATCAGAAACGTCTTTTGGGAAGCACATTTCTAATTGTATGTTTGTCATATTTGATTTTAAAAATCATGAAATATTATGCTGTTATATGCATATAAGTACTGAAAGTGTAAACTGCCAAGACCCTAAGACCTAAGTACACTATCTATAATGATTCTACTTAAATTATACAGTTTTCTAGGCAAGCTCGAGTGCTTAAAAAGAAATCAAATTATGCAAATATATACCCTTAAAATAACTTATAAGAAATACTTTAAAAACTAAGCATTTTACTGGAAATTGTGGAATTTGTGTTAGAGAGAGATGGTTTACCTGAGCGTACAAAAACGAATATTAAAGTATAAAATTATATTTGGCAATTCAATTATGCTTTTAAACATTTTGTAAGCTATTGGTTTTTCAGTGGCTACCCTTTAAAGAATATTAACTGCCTTCACTGAGAGACATTGGCATATGTGTTCTTGAAGAGGATGGGAATTCTCAAGTAATTGTAAATATAGTTGACTCTGTTAAGAAATTGATGAAAGAGCTATTGAATGATATGAATGTGGGTTAAATTTGGTTTCATAAAACATAGTAGTGATTTCATAAAACATGCTGGTGTTTATCTGTTACAAACATAAAAGTTGTTATATGTTAACTTCTGTTTTCTTATCTGGTGTTAGTTTTTATTAGATTTGGTAGTAAAACTGAATATCTGAAATTTGTGGGGGAAGTTGAAAGTAATGGTAGTAACATTGCTTCTAACATAGCTGTGTTGTGAGATATCTTCATGATGACCAAAGAGTCACAGTTACATTGACTGAAATCAGTATTTCTTTATATATATATATATATATATATATATATATATATATATATGGGGTTTGTGTTGGGATCTCTGGTCAGGATCAGATTAGTGGAAAAGGGACCCCATTTTGCAATTTTTGGCCTAGTTTTTTGAGGATATAGACAATTTAATGTAATACATTTCCTAGGAGATGGAATTATGAGTCTGAAAGAGTACTTGCAGTAATTGCTTGCAGGCAAACCATTCCAGATTTGTTATGAATAGACTAGGCTAGAAACAGCAGAGTGGTAATTGGCATCATGAGAAACCAGACTGATTGGAGCTTGCTGCCAGCAACTCTAGGCCATCAAGCAACCAGAGAAGGAGTTGCGATTGCAAGGTTCCTTGGGTAGTTTTTGCATCCTGATTATTTTCCATGCCTTTGATACTGTCTTAAGTGACCTGGAGCTGTTTCTTGTGTCCCCTAGAGCAGGGGTCCCCAATTCCCGGGCTGTTAAGAACGCAGGCCGCACAGCAGGAGGTCAGTGGCGATGAAGCGGAGCTTCATCTGCCACTTCCCTTCACTCCCCATGGCTGGCATTACCGCCTGAACCATCCCCCCGCTCACCGCCAGGTCCTCGGAAAAATAGTCTTCCACGAAACCGGTCCCTGGTTCCAAAAAGATTGGGGACCGCTGCCCTAGAGTAGGACAGTCGTCCTTCCAGAAGGGTGGTAGAAATTGGTTAACTCAAAAAAATTGGCTTTGGACTTGTCTCTTGTTGTAATTTGCATTTTTATCCCCAGGCTCTCTACTCTCCCCACCACTGTGCTTGTGGGGTTGGGGTAGGGAGGTAGGCTGTGTGTGTGTGTGTGTGTGTGTGTGTGTGTG